TAGCTAAGAAATTAGAATAATAACCGAGTAAGGAAAGGTAATTAATAAGCTGTATTACTGATTCTCTCCCAACCCCAACAACTTCAATTTTCCTCTATCCATTGAAAAACGACATCAGATTAGGTATGTATATGCCTTACTAATATCATGAACCAATTAGGTTCCTCCAATTCAATAAGCATAATCAATAATGTTACTGCAAGTAACATTAATAATAATATTAAATCAATAACAACAAGCAAAAGGTTCATACTATTTGACCTGTGTTGGCCATCTCAACATTTTACCATAAACAATTTTTTATTTAATAAGACACAAATCATTGTAAACATACCTGAAGACGTACTCTAGGCTTCAACAACGTTTGTTTTGTTAGATTAGAGACTCGTGTTGATAACGTGTTATGAAACTATAGAATAAGAAGAAAGTATAGGGAAGACTTATTATTTCTCTTTCACAGATCTGATTTATAAGGAAGGAAAACTCCTTTATTTATAGAGGAAAACTGACTTGGTCTCCAAGTAGAATTCCTAACTTTTTATCCAAAGAGTGACTGATCAGTAATTCAGTATTCTTGTAATATTAAATAGTTGTGCTAAAATTAAAAAAAAATAGAAACATCTTTTCTCTAGATTCTAACCAATAGGTAGTATACGATGAGATTAATTTAACTTTATATCACAATCGAATCACATACAAGTCTCACAAACATCATCCACATGAATCAACCCTCGATCTTCAAAACTAATGAAAAAATAATAAGCAGTCTCGTTGACTCTTATACCTTGTTAAGATTTAATGCATAAATATGAAAAATCACATTAATTGGAGAGGAGGAGCATCAGAGGCTTTTAATATATTTTTGTTTGTGTGTTAGTTGAAGTTTATTTGACAAATTAATAATAAATGTTAGCTTCTAAGTGATAAGCCATATATTATTTGCATGACTTGTTTAGTGTGCTTCGTTTTAGTGCTCCATGGTAACTTTGTCTTTGTAGACAATTATGTCTTATTGCATTTTATCTTTGCTATATCGGCATAATTAAGGGATTAGATGGAAACCTGTAAGGAGAGATAATTGGACATCACAAATCCGCGCTTCGCGCTTATTAGACTTTTTTTATATTAAATTTTTAATAAAATATTTTAAAACTTTAATCAATTATATTATTAAAATACACTTTCTTTATATAATGATTTTTCATTACTTGAGCGTTTAAGAGTCTTCTACAAAACTTGTATATAATCTAGTATAAGTGAAACAATATTTTCATTTTTTTCTTAAAAGAAGACAAAGAAAGTAAATTGAAGGAGTCAAAAAAATCAAACACTTTCGGTAAGTATCTGTATATGAATAACAAAATTGAACTTTTTTTTTTATCTTTAACGTTTTTTCCCTCTCTTACTTTCCGACAAAATCACTCATTTTCTCTTTTAAAAAATATTACATCATATTTTCTCTTTTAAAAAATATTAAATCATACTCTTCTTTTTCATTTTTTAACTTCTAAATAATCAAAATATATTTCCAAATCTCAATATAAAATGTAAAAAATAATAATTCAGGAAACAATGCATAAAAGCATATTGTAACATATAAAGAAGTAAACACATTATTGATCATTAATTATTCAATTTAATTTGAGAAAATGCAAGTAATCAATGTAGTCAGGAATGGGAAAAATAAATAACAGAAAAACTAATCATTATAAATTAATATAAGAACTAGTGAACTCATCCGCGCTTCGCACGATCATAAAAAACATGAATAATTTATTAAATACGATATAAATAAAAAGATATTTTTATATATAATGATGTTTGTATCTAATATATATTTAATATATGTGAATTTAAGTCAAAAATTTTAAATATTTTTTCAAGAGTTTCTCCTTACATAAAAAATATATATAATAAAATAATTACACTTTTTTATAAATGTGCAGAGGTACAAAATTCATAGCGAAAAAAACATAAGAAAGTTATATGTGATTAGCAGTGAAAGAACACAATATTTATTGTTGCAATTTATAATGATTTAAAAATAAATAACATAAATATGCTATTTTTTTAAGTAAAAAATAAACAACAGTAGGAATTATAGAGTTACAACAATCAAAAATTCATATACAAATTAAACTTAAGAGGTACATACCACAAAGATGCATAAGAAGAAGAAAATAAAGAAAGAAATAATACAATATACATATCATTACGATTTTAATCATTAAAAATACAAAAGGAAAAACGAAATCAATACATAACGTTTAAGCTTTTGTTGATATCAAATTCACAAGCCTATCACTATTTGAGAGTTTTCTTCTTCTTTTTTGAGTCAAACATAAGCATGAGTATGATACTTTAGTGAAAATAAAGGAAAACTTTGGATAGAATTTTATGAAATAAAAAATATAAATTTATATTGATAAAAATAAAGGAATGTCATAAAGTGTCTTTAACTTTTACATTTAATATACAAGGGTTATAAATATGAAAAGGTAAAAAATATGAAAGTTATAAATATTATTATGAGTAAAAATTAAATAAATGAGTTATGAAGGTAAAAATAATAAAACAAATGTGGTGGAAAAGGATAAATAAAAAAAGACATTAATATAAGTCTTTGAATGATATTTGATTGCTACACTACGTGGGTTTAAGAAATGTGATAACAGTTTAAATGGATCAAATAATTTTTATTTTTTATTAGTTAATTGATATATTCATTAAGAAACACAATAAGTTATCATAAGTTTATACATTTAAATTTGGGGGTTATGAGGAGTTATAGAGATTATGAAAATATAACTTATGAAGATAAAAAATTGTATATATATAAAAATGTAAAATATAATGAATATTTCTTAATTAGTTTAAGAAAGGAAAATTAATGAAATTAAATTAAGAAAATGACAAGTTTAAAATTCTAATTAAGTTTGTAAGATCAATTTCTCCCTTTATTTATTTAATAGGAGAAAATGAAAAGATAAAAGTTTTTTAATTTATTGCAAAGATTTATGAGCAATCAAGAATGTTAAAAAAAATTATCACTTATTTTTGCTACGTGGGCAATATTTTCACGTAGGAAGCATTTGATCGATTTATTTTTAAGTTAATTATGTAGAGAAATGTCAAAAAAAAGGAGAATTTTTTAAAAATAATTTCGCATTTCACCATGCTTTCTCTTGTTCTTTTTTAGTGAAACAACACCGATTTTGTATCCTTCTTACTTTTTGTGAAAATTTTAAAATATTAAACAACAACAACAACAATAATAACAAAGTTAATTGAGTAAAATTGGCTAATTGAGCTTTCTACTATGTTGGTTAGTAGAGTTTTATATTTTTATTGTATGCTGAATAAAAGAAAATCATGTCTTTATCAAATTTTTTTGTTCAAAACGAAGAAATAAAATAAAAGAAGATAGAATAATTCTAATTGAAATCAAAATAATACAACAATGAATCTTCAAAATGTTTGAAAATCATTCAAACTTTTATACTACTAAGACAATCTTTGTTCATGAAGATTCCAAGATAATTAGCTTCCTTCTTCATTTTGCTGAACATGTATCAAATATTGTGAACATCTCTTTGCCTCTGTGATGAATCTTTGAAGAATATATATATGATCTTCATCAAAGTAAATGTCATATCGTAATATTATATTTTCTACTTCTACTTTTTTGTATATTAAGTACATGATTGATGAATAAAAAGATGAAGAAAAGAAAATTAAAAAGGAGAAAAAACCTATACTAATAAAAAGAAAGAATGAAAAAATCAAAATTAACATTCAACATCTTCATAGATGATTGATATTTATAGATTGAGTAATCCATAAAAATAATTAAAAGATAGTTGAAAAGACATGTTATTTAAGTAGAGAATATAAAAGGATGGAGGTTTTTTGTAACTCATCACATATAATTACAATAGTAAATATGATTGAATTTTTAATTAATAAACAAATTATTTAATGAAAAGAATGAAGAAAAAAATGCCAAAAAAAAAAAAAAGATAAATAAAAATGGAGGTCATAGAGAGGTGTCACATCACCTTATCTTGGTTCTCCTTTATATATATATATATATATATATATAGATAG